CGCAGAAGGCACCAGACAAAAGCCCGGATGCAGAGGCCACGCCCTGCAGAGCCCTCCCCGGAGCGGGAGAGGCTGGTTCTCAGCCCAGGCTCTCAGGAGGCCCGTTGTCAGGCTAACACAAACCTCCCCAGTTATGCGGAGGATGCACGATCGTACTCCTGCTTGTGTTTGAAGCATTTCGCATGCTCGGTGCCAGCGGCAAAGCAAGATTAATTTTGTCAGAGTTTTACTCCGCACTTTAATTTTTAGCCACAAAATGTTATAGTCAGTGAGCTAAGTTTTGATGCGGTTAAGCTTTCCAGAGGTAGGAGATGCCTGGGAGGTGTGTGTGTTGTGTGTCTTTTTCTTAAGCAGCAAAGCAACATTTTCAAACAGCACAAGAACCGGAAATCCCTGTGCCCACATCTCCCCGTCCCCCTATTTGTGTTTTAAAGATTCAAAACCTCCAAATCGCCCAAGATTTCCGCGATGGAAATAAAGTGGAATAATAATAATGGAAATTCTCTTCAAGGATGCGGTCACGTACCCTCAAGAGGCCACTCTAATGCGGGGGAGGTCTTGTTCCGGTCACTAGAGTTGCTGGAGTTTGTAATGATGTTTATGGATGATGCACTCTCTGGTTTTGTTGTAGCCTTTTGTTAGGAACAATAACGATCAAAAAGCCATCAACTTTAGAGAAATACCTCACAACCTGTGGAAAAATAACAGTATGATGTTATTTAGAACAAACAGCCGTATGGCAGTGTCTCCCCAGTCCTACGGCCATCAGAAGGGCCTGAATTATCAAAGGTGGCTGTCCGTGGGCTGTCCAGATCAGGCTGACTGCCTGCAACAGTACGGAGGAGTGTCGCCAGAGGCCCACGCTTTTGGCACTGTGGAATGTTCTGTCTTGATTCAAGAGGCAGCTAGAAAAAGCACAGCGCATTATTCATCCACCCCGGGGTTCTTCTGTGTTTTGGAGGTGCCTAAAGCATATTGACTTGTCTAGCGTTGCCAAGCCATTAGAAAGAATATTCCTTTCTTTGCTTAAATACCTTTGGTTCTTGGCTTATCTGTAACAGTTCAATGGACTCCCAATGGAAGCTTGAAAAGCCAGTGTAGCTATGTATTAGGTATCCAGGTGATGCAGTAGAGAGGCAACCGTTTTTTAAGATGACTCATACTGGGATCACTTCTGCCCCTCACTTGATCGTAGAGCTCAGAGCAAGTTCCTTAAAATAGTCTGTGCCTCAGTTTCCTTGTCTGTATCCCAGAGAAAAACAAATCAACCTTTCCAACACTTCAGTGCCATTATGAAGATACAGTGACAGAGGAGAGCTGTAAGGGATTTGGAAAAATTACAAGGGAAACACAAAGGCCGTCTCCTACAAACCCCGTCGGGCCGAGTGGTATCACCGCTCTTGAGAAATGTTTACGAGGTTACGCCAGGAAGGGACTAAAAGAGCTCATTGTAAAGCTTTTTCAGTTGTGCATTTCTTAGCAGCCTCATGCATTTTTATGGGATTGTTTTGGGAGTGGACTGCAGGCAGATAATTTTTAGGGTGGCTGGTGTTTCATTCTTTGAGACAGGTGATGTACTTATCAGTTTTATGATTAGATGTTAGGATTCCTAAATAAGACGGTAGATCATAGTTTATCCTGACCATGTTTTTAGTACAAGAATGAGTGAGGGCCGGGGAGGAGGAACTCCTCTAGGTGAGCAGCCTTCCTGTGATGCTGAGGACACCATGGAGGGTGAGAAGCATTGATCGACGACTCTGACTGATCGATGGCCCTGAGCCTAATGGTGAGTCCCTGTGGTCCTTCCTGTGGTGTAACTTATACCTCCTCTTGGTGCTTTCCTCCCCATCTTTCTAGAATGGCAGCAGTTGCTCTGCAGCAATGACAGAGCCCAAGTCAGTGTGCGTCTCTGTGGACGAGGTGGTCTCCAGCAGCAGGGAAGTCATGGAGATGGAGCTGCTGAACGGACATCTGAAGAAAGAGGATAACAGCCTGACAGAGGCCCAGCGCCTCTCCTGCCTGCCACGGAGGGCGGCTGTGAACATCGAATTCAAGGACCTCTCCTACTCGGTCCCAGAAGGTCCCTGGTGGAGGAGGAAAGGTAGGGCGGGGGCTGCTGTGTGCGTCCAGAGGCGCAGGCACCTCGGAGGAAGGAACAGGTTGTTTGGGAAGATCTGGGTCTGGAAGCTGGGAGGCTGATTCTTTTTCCGGACTCTGGCTCTGCTGTGGCCAATGTATGTAATGGCTTTATGCCCGATTTTTCCTCACTTATGATATGAACAGATCAGATCAGATGACTCAACATTCACAGCGTTTGTTGTTTTTTTTTGACTGAAGCATAGTTGATTTACAATGTTGTGTTAGTTTCAGGTGTACAGCAAAAGTGATTCAGTGATACATATATATATAT